TATATATATATATATGTATATATATATATATTTTTTTTCTTTCAGTTTGAATATATCCTCCCACTGCCTTCTAACCTCCATGGTTTCTGATTTTAAAAAATCAGCTATTAACCAGGGCACCAGCTGCATGTAAAGCACCCCTCCAGGACAGACTGGCACTCTGGAGTGGGCAGAGGGAGAGCATAAAGATAGTGTCTGTCTTCTGGGGTCTCTGGAAAGGATTAGTCAACCCCTAGATCCCTTTTTAATTAGAAGCCTGCCCCTCAGGCTGCAGCTCTGATGATTAGCTGAAAGTTCTCTTTCACGGAAAGACCTAGATGCTGGGTTTGTCGCCTCCTGCTGTGCCTCAGTGGTGTTGAACTGCTGTTTAAGAACTCTTTCTCTTTTGCTTACAGTCCTGTGGGACCCATGAGCATAAGTCCTACTGGCCACCAGAACCAGGTGATGTACAGGTGTTCCCTGGTAGCAGCCACAAAGATTGGGGTACCAGACAGACCTTGAGTTCCAAATCTTGGGTGACACCAATTATTACAATAGCATGGGACTGGAAACACAAGCTCCCCTGGCCTCCAGAGCCACACAGTCAAGAGGTATATCCTGGGCAGCAGCCACAAAGATCGGGGCACCACACACATGTAAAAACTCCCTTCTGGGGATCCTGGTGCTCTGGAATACAGAAAAGGGAGAGCATAAAGATGGTGCCCACCAATCTCTGTCCCTGAGGAATGTTCCAGCTGGCTCCCAGATGTATTAAACTAGACACTTGCCCCTCAGGCCAGAGCTTTAATACAAGCAGGTAAGCCTCCTTCACTCTAAGTCTGGGTGTAATTGGCTGCCTCTGAGCTGGGCCCTGGGGTAGGGGAGACTAAGTGCAGAGGCCTATGAAAGCTATCTCCCTGGTCACTATAATCTATGAGTCTTGGGACACAAGTCCTTTTTGTTTTCAGAGTTAGATGTTTTGGGGGCTCATAAAGATGCAAGTTGAGATGCCTCATGGTGGTTCAAACCCTTTGCTCCTTGGGGAGAAGTGGTGGGCTTTAAGCTTTCTCCCCATTGTGGGTCTCTGTGCTGGAGGTGGGGATTATGGTAAATTGTATCCCCACCTCTTCCACCTGTTTTGATGTGTCTTTCTTATCTGCCTGATGTGCAGTCATCATTCAGAGGGGATTTTTTAAAGAGGAAATTGTTCCATTTGTAGCTGTAGACTCAGTGTGCCTACGGGAGGGTCCTATGTTGCCATCTTGAATCTGATTTTCTTGTCTAGTACCCTGGTTTTGCAGTTGGCACCCAAGGGATGCCTTTGACTGCCTATCTCTTTTGGCCATGGGGGCTTGCATTCCTGGGTCCAGTGGGACTGGCAATGGGAATGATGGTTCTTAGCAGGCTGCCACTCTCAGGGCACTGCATAGAAAGCAGATTGAAGCACACCCCCTAGTCTTTCTGTGAAGGAGGCCTCAGCATTTCCTGGAGCTTTAACCTAAGGATCAAGATTTAGGTTTATCACACACCTAGTGAACTATGAAGCTGCTTTCAAGGAGCATAGGCTGTGAACACCATCTTGATGCTCTCCTTCTGCTTTGCTCCAGCTCACAAGTATCTCCCAGAAAAGAACTTATTTGCTCATATGAACCCCTATTTTTGCGACTGCTACCCAGAGGATACTGCCAGATTGCCTGACCAGTGGAACTTAACACTTGTAGTCCCACAACACTATATATATTTGCAAACTTTTAAAAGCTGCTGCCTGAGGGCCTGGCTTCTAAATAGTCTGAATCTACATGCCGAGATGCTCCCCTTAGGGACACTCACAGGTCTTGGTACATCCTCAGCTACTGGGAGCTATTAAAAATGTAATAGGCTGCTTGGGTAGAACAAAGGTTTGAGAGATGACAAAGAGTTAGCTGGCTCATGACCAGTTAGCTGGTCAGAGTTAGCTGAATGACAAGGCTTCTACACAAGGCTACTCCTCCAAGAGTGGGAGAGATGGTTGTTTCATCTACTGTAAGAAATCAACAGAGTTGAGCAAAATGAAGAAACAGATGAATATGTTCCAAATAAAAGAACAAGATGAAATCTGAAAAAAAAAAAAAAAAAAAAAAAACCTTAATGAAATAGAGATAATTAATTTGCCTCACAGAGTTCAAAGTAATGGTCATGAAGATACTCACCAAACTGGGGAGGAGGATGGATGTACATGGTGAAAATTTCAAAAAAGAGATGGAAAATATAAGAAAGCACCAAACAGAAGTCACAGAGCTGAAGAATACAATTACTAAACTGAAAAATACACTAGAAGGGTTCAAAAGTAGAATATATTAAGCAGAAGAAGGCAGTGGAACTCACCCAATCAGGGCAGAAAAAAAATAAATAAGAAGTGAAGATAATGTAAGGGACTTATAGGACAACATCAAACAGATTATAATTTGCATTATAGGAGTCCTAGAAGGAGAAGAGAGAGAGAAAGGGGCAGAAATGTTTGAAGAACTAATGGCCAAAACTTCTCTAACCTAGGAAAGGAAACAAACATCCAGATTCAGGAAGCCCAGAAAATTCTAAATAAGGGGAATCCAAAGAAACCTATACCAAGACACCTTGTAATTAAAATGGCAAAAATTAAAGACAAAGAGAGAACATCAAAAGCAACACGAAAAAAACAACTTGTTACATGCAAAGGAACGCCTATAAGACTATAAGCAGGTTTTTCAGTAGAAACTTTGCAGGCCAGAAGAGAGTGACACAATATATTCAAAGAGCTGGATGAAAATACAATTGCAACCAAGAATACTCTACCTGGCAAAGTTTTCATTCAGAACTGAAGGGGAGATAGAGTTTTTCTTTATCTCCTTGGGGAGCATAAACTAAAGGAGTTCATCACCACTAAACCAAACTCACAAGGAATATTAAAGGAACTTTAATCTGAAAAGAAAGGACACTAGTAACAAGAAAACATGAAAAATAAATCTTACTGGGAAGGTGAAATACATTGTAAAGGTAGTGGATTAGTCACTTATAAACCTAGTATCAAGTTTAAAAGACAAAAGTAATAAAAATAACTATGATTGCAAGGGATACACAAGATAAAAAGATGTAAAATGTGACATCAAAACCAGAAAACATTGGAGGAGAGGGAGACCACAAATGCTAAGCTTTAGAATAGGATCAAACTTAGCTTTTTATCGATTTAAAATAGACTGTCATAGATATAAATTGTTATATGTAAGCCTTGTCACCACAAAGCAAAAATCTATAGTAAATACACAAAAGATAAAGAGAAAGGAATATAAGTATACCACTAAAGACAGTCATCAAACCACAAAAGAAAAAAAAGAGCAAGGGAAGAAAGGAACAGAGAAGAACTAGAAAAACATAAAATAAACAATTAACAAAATGGCAATAAGTACATACTTATCAGTAATTAATTTAAATGTAAATGGACTAAATAATCATAAGACACAGAGTGGCTGAATAGATACATAACAAAAACAAAAACAAACGAGCCATCTATATTCTGCCTACAAGAGACTCACTTTAGATATAAGGATACAATCATGATGAAATAGAAAATTTGAACAGATTACTAGTAAGGAGGTTGAATTAGTCATCAAAAACCTTACAACAAATAAAAGTTCAGGACCAGATGGTTTCATTAATGAGTTGAAAAAAAAAGGGGCTCCTGGGTGGCGCAGTCGGTTAAGCGTCCGACTTCAGCCAGGTCACGATCTCGCGGTCCGGGAGTTCGAGCCCCGTGTCAGGCTCTGGGCTGATGGCTCAGAGCCTGGAGCCTGTTTCCGATTCTGTGTCTCCCTCTCTCTCTCTGCCCCTCCCCCGTTCATGCTCCGTCTCTCTCTGTCCCAAAAATAAATAAACGTTAAAAAAAAAAAAATTAAAAAAAAAAAAAAGAATTAATACAAATCCTTCTCCTACTCTTCCAAAAAAATAGGAGGGAACTCTTCTAAGCTCACTTTATAATGTCAGCATTACTCTGACACCAAAACCAGACAAAGATGCCACAGGAAAAGAACATTACAGGCTGGTACCCCTGATGAACAAGATGCAAAAATCCTTAACAAATATTAGCAAACTGAATTCAATCATGTATCAAAATGATCATACACTGATAAAGTAGGAGTTATTCCAGGCCTGCAAAGATGGTTCAACATCTGCTAATCAGTGAATGTGATATGCCGCATTAACAAAAATAGGAATAAAAATCATATGGTCTTCTCAGTGGATGCAGAAAAAGCATTTGACAAAGTTCAACATGATGAAAACTCTCAACAAAGTGGGTATAGGAGAAATGTACCTCAATATAATAGAGGCCATGTGTGACAGGCCCACAGCTTTTACTCCATGGTGAAAAGATGAAAGCCTTTTTTCTAAGATCAGAAAAAAGAGAAAGATGGCCACTCTTGCCACTTTTATTCAAGTATTGGAAGTCCTAGCCAGAGCAATTAGAAAAGGAAAAGAAATAAAAGACATCCAAAAGAAAGAAGTAAAACTGTCACTATTTGCAGATGACGTAGTACATATAAAAAAAACCCTAAAGACTCCCAACAAAAAACTGAGAACCAATTAAGTGAAAAAAGTAAGTTGCAGGATATAAATAAGCAATTAACAAAATGGCAATAAGTACATATTTATCAGGTATTAATTTAAATGTAAATGCACTAAATTCTCTAATCAAATCAATCAAATCGAATCAAACACAAATCTCTTGTGTTTCTATACAGTGATATAAACTCTCAGAAAGAGAATAAAGAAAACAATTGTATAAATTGTATCAAAAAAAAGTACCCAGGAATAAATTTAACCAAGGATGGGAAAACCTATATATTGAAAACTACAAGACAATAGTGAAAGAAAAGTGAAAAAAAACACAAAAAATGGAAAGCTATATCATGCTCATGATTAGAAGAATCAATATTGTTATAATGTCCATACTACCCAAAGCAGTCTACAGGTTTAATGCAATCACTATCAAAATTATGATGGCATTTTTCAAAGAAATAGTACAAATAATCCTAAAATTTGTATGGAACCACAAAAACCAAAAAACAAAAACCAAAAAACAAAAACCAAAAAAACAAAAACACACACACAAAAAAAACAAATAGCCAAAGCCATTTTGAGAAAAGAACAAAGCTGGAGGCAAAATGCTCCCTAATTTCAAAGTACATTACAAAGCTATGGTAATCAAAACAGTATGGTATTGGAATAAAATAAACATATAGATCACTGGAACAGAATAGAGAGCCCAGAAATAAACCCATGCATATGTGGTCAATTAATTTATGATATGGAAGCCAAGAAATGTACAATGAGAGAAAGAAAGTCTCTTCAATAAATGGTGTTGGGAAAACTGTACAGCTATATGCAAGAATAAAACTAAACTACTGCCTTACACCATATATAAAAATTAACTCAAAATACAGACTTGAAAATAAGACCAGAGGGTGTGTAGGTGGCTCAGTCAGTTGAGTGTCTGACTCTTGATTTTGGCTGAGGCCATGAGCTCATGGTTCATGTGATCGAGCCCCATGTCAAGGTCTGCACTCTGTAGCACAGAGCCTGCTTGGTATTCCTTCTCTCCTACTCTTTCTGTACCTCCCATGCTTAGGCTCTCTCTCTCAAAATAAATAAACTTAAAAAAAAAAAAAAAGAAAGAAAGAAAATAAATAAGACCTGAAACTGTAAGACTCCTAGAAGAAAACATAGGTGGTAAGTTCCCTAACTTAGGTCTTGGTGATGATATTTTGAATCTGACACACACACACAAAAAGCAACAGAGCAAAACCAAACTATGAAACCTACATAATGCCAAAAAGCTTTTGTACAGGAAAGAAGTCATCCACAAAAGGAAAAGGCACCCTACTAATTGGGAGAAAATACTTGCAAATCATATTTATGGTAAGGGGTTAATATCCGAAATGTATAAAGGACTCATATAACTCAATAGAAAAAAAATCCAATTAAAAAATGGGTAGAAGATATGACTAGACACTAATGGTTAAAAGACAATGTGATAAACACACACAGACACACAGAAACACACACACACTGAAATATTCAGCCATAAAAAAGAATGAAATCTTGCCATTTGCAGCAACATGGTTGGATCTAGAGAGTAGAATGCTAAGCTAAATAAATCAGAGAAAGACAAATACCATATGATTCCACTCACAGGGTGGATTTTAAGAAGCAAAACAGTGGGGGCACCTGGGTGGCCCAGTTGCTTAAGCATCCAACTTTGGCTCAGGTCATGATCTCATGGTTTGTGGGTTTGAGCCCCACGTTGGGCTCTGTGCTGACAGCTCAGAGCCTGGACACTGCTTCCAATTCTGTGTCTCCTTCCCTCTCTGCCTCTTCCCTGTTTGCACTCTGTCTCTCTCTCAAAAATAAATAAACATTAAAAAAAAAAAAGAGAGAGAAAGCAGT